ACACTGAGATACAATCCTGTCCCGTGAGCCCTCCCTTGCTGCCTGAAGTGGAATAGCTCTGACACAAGATGAGAGAACTTGGTATTGAATACAGCTGGATCTCGCATTTCCCAAGGTGTAGCCCCCTGACCCACAAGACTCTTGCTTGGGTAGCAAGGAGGGGTCACTTGGCCTTGTTCCTGTGCTGTGGTGGACTAAGCAGCTTTGTCCCAGGCCTGTTCTGCTAGAACTGCCCCAGCCTCTCTCTCCTCTTTGTACAAAGACAAAATGCCCTGGGGCAGGAATGGGTGAGAGGTTTGGGGGCTTGCTGCAGCAGAAAAGGGGGAGGGTGGAAGTGAATGGAGACTTTCCAGAAAAGGTGCACAAGTGCCACCTGGTGGCCAAAGATTCACAGCACTTCCAAGGTGGGGTTGTGCTCCCAGAGACAGATGCTTTGGCTCAGAGTGATACTACAGCAACACTCCTGGCTTTAAACCATCTAAAGAGTTGAGCCAGCTGTCACAATCGCACAGTAGGAAGTAGTTACCAGGGACTGAGCCTGCTACAGATTCCCAGCATTAATTGTTTAGCAGGCTACCTAGCAAGAGCCAGATATGCAAAAACAAGAGACTCCCACCAACAGAGATTGCGAAAAGGCCACCATAACAACGCAAATGAAATGGGAAGACATGAGAATGAAAGGTGCTTGTCTACGTTTCTGGAAACTGTTATGCGAGATATGCAGTGCAATCTTATGCATGTCTATTCAGAAGCAAATCCTGTTGTGTCTGATGGATATTACTCCTCAGTCTGGAAGGGTGGAGCTCAGTGGCTTTGCATTCAGATGGCCCCAGCTTCAATCCCTGGCACCGCCAGGTATAGCTTTGGGATTTCTATTGTCTGAAATCCCCGAGAACTGTTGCCAGTTAGTCCATCTACCTCAGTATTGTCTCTATACTAAGGGTCTGATTCAGTACAAAGCTGCTTAGGTTTTTAGGATTGTGGCCTTAATGCCACTTAGCATTTGCTGGCATTCAAATCATTTCACATGCCTTATCTCACCAGTCCTCACAAGAGTCCTGCAAGGTAGACCAATATTATTACCATCTCTATATTGGTCTATGTTTGCAGGGAAGGCTTAGAGAACTCCATGAATTCTGAAAAGTATGCTTGTTCAAGATATCAGCAAACAGAATTGTGGCCTCTGTGCAACTCTAGGTGTGTTCGGTGGGAGAAGGGGGCTTTACTTCCTTCTGTTTGGGAAAGAGCAAAGAGGTTTTAAATTGGCTCTGAACATGCTTGTGTTATAATGCAAATGGAATGGAAAAATTGTGCCCCGCCCCCTGAGAAAACAGGAAGGGGGAAGGAGCAGGACTTGCTGGGCTAGAGAAAACTAGGAAGAATACTGGCTGAAACACAGGGAATGTCAAACCAGAGAATCGCCTTGAGTTGAACACTCCATATTCCAGAGTCATTCTAGGATAGGGAGGGGGGCTTAGTGACAGCAGGATGCTAAAGTGCTGTCCAAAATACTCCAGATATCTCCAAGGAGTTTCATAGCAACAAGGCACAGGGGGATTCTTGGCACCACCAGAAAAACCGGGGTGGAGGACAGTCGAAGGGCGGTCGAGGAGAGACCTTATGCCATCACCATTCCTTCCTTCTGATTGCAGAACCAAGTGGAGAATACCAAAAGGATGCCTTTTGTAACTGACTCCAATTGGCTGGTCTTGGGGGTTTGGTAAAAAAATGAAAGCGGATCCTAAAGCCTGCCTACTCCTGATCTCGTCCAGTACTGCTGTCTTTGACTTGCAACAGCTTGTCAGGGTCTCAGGCAAGGATCCTTTAAAGCAGGCTTTGCCAGTCTGGTGTCCAGCTGGCTGGAGTTGATGGGAGTTTTAGTTCAAAACCCTGGGGGGTGGGGCACCAGATCACCAAACTTCTATATGCAAAAACCAGGGGTGTCTGCCACTGAGCTATGGGCTTCTCTTTTTCTCCTCCCCCATAGGGAGTGGTTTCCTCACTCCTACCTTATCTACTGATATGAGCTATGACAAAGGCTAGCCAGGGTTTCCATTTGACTAGGATTTGCAACTTCAGTTAAACTTTGGCTTCAAATCTTGGTCAGATGAGTCGCCAAGTTGGGTGTGGTGGGTGTTGGCCTATGGCAGAATCAGCTCCTCCTCAGCCCTGGTTTAAGCATGACACCAGGTATATATATATATTTAAAACCCAGTAATTTGACAACCTACCTGGCTGGGACTGAGCACTTAGCATCTACAGAACCTTCTGCCGGGTTTTCAGCCCCAACCAGGTGCATTGTCTCTGGTGACTGTGTGAGCAAAAGGAGTACGCCAGAAATCCAGTCTGTGGCATGTGGCTCTGGCGCACTAGTTGTTTCTACATGTAGATGTTTCTGCTTTTAAATACACACACACACAGCTTCATATATAAACTGAGCTTCAATTGTTTGCTTTAAAAATGAATGGAGAAGTCTGCAAGGAGGGTATTTTTTTAAAGAGAGAAGCTGCTTAGCCCTCTTCATTATAACAGTTTCCTTTCCACAAGACAGGATGTTCCACATGTTCAGAATTATATCCTACGGAGGTTGGCGCATGGAAAATATTGTTCTGGTCATCCAAATTGATTTTTAGTTGAAAGCTGTGTTCAGAAGCCAGAAGGAACTTGGCCTGCTCACTCTCCTGGGAGGGAGGAAACCCCCCACGGATGGCCATTTTGGATTACCATAAACCTCCCGAGGAAGCCTTCAAAACACACACAGGCACTCAGGGCAGAAGTGGAGGATGGAGTAACAGGCAGATTTCAGCTGCCATTTCATGCACCTGGGGAGTAAGCCTCAGCTCACCTTACTTTTGAGTATAATAGTATAGGATTGGGCTGGAAGGCTGCAATCCCTAAACAATTACCAGCCAGCAAGCCCCACCCCACTCAATCTACTCAGTGGGACTCGGTCCTGAGTCAACATGCTGCAGGAGTAGTACTGAGATCTCTCTCTCTCTCTCTCTCTCTCTCTCTCTCTCTCTCTCTCTCTCTGTGTGTGTGTGTGTGTGTGTGTTTTGTCTCTCTCTCTCCTGATAGCAAACATAGTTTTCAAAGCAGAGCAAGTTCAGTTGGGGCTGCCTGTACTACAGCTTTCTGGCAGTGAAGGCTTCTGAAAGTAGGATCTGTGACAATTTAGAACAGTAGGGCACACCTTTACAGTAAAAGGGCACCTGCCAAGACTCTGCTGACTGGTGGAGGCCACGCAGGGAACAGGATAGCAACACCCTAAAGTTACTCATTAAGCTGTTCCCTCCCACTACAGGCAAACCAGTGTGTCTCAAAGGAAGTGATTTGGAGGCTGACTGCTGTCTGCTTTGCCCATGACTAATGTCCCCGCAGTTGCCCAATCCCAGCCGGTAAAGGTGATCTCACTCCAGGGAGCCCTTCCTCATGCACACTCATTTAACATCCGTCCTTCCCTAAGCATTTTTCTGAATCAATCCAGGAAATTATTTCCTCTCTAGGCAAGTTGGCCTTCTAGATCAAGTAGCACTGGATCTCCTTTTGCTGCTTTCTACAAAAAGAAACCCCACACCTAAAAGGTACAGGATGGAAAAAGATGGGGAAGGAGCTCTCGCTTTCCTTTCAACATTTGCAAGCCAATGTGCCTGCTTTCTGAATTAAAGGGAAACTGCAAGAGTCTCCTTCTGAGAATCCAGTAGCATTTCTCAGCTCTCCCCAGCCTTCATCTGAGACAAGCCATTTCAAAATAGTCTGCATTCTTTTCCTTATAAGGAATATCTCCCCTGGATCTATATGCGGTTCCTTTGAACAAGTTAAATAAACCGGCTGGCTGGAATGCTGACTTCCATCTATAGAATGCCACATACGGGGGAAACACATCTGAAGCAGATTAGACTCAGCCTGTCTCTCAGACGAAGAGTCATTCTGTGGTTCTATGGCTGAAATTAAGTCAAACAGATTCCTTTCTAGGCTGGGCACAAGACTTTCTTTTTTAAACCTACGCAATGGACTGAGCAGAAATAAGAAAGAAGTTTGTCTTCCAACTTGCACTGGATCTTCTTCATTTAACACCGCACTTTTGCCCATTCTTTCTAAAACCACTTATGCATATGGAAGTTATGCTACCATTTTTCAAATGAGTGAAATCTAAGTGACATCATCTGCTTGGGATGTGCATCACCCGCTCTAAACTTGGGAGGACGTCTTTACTTGGAAAGAATTTCCCTTGCACCGTAATGGACGGGGAGCTACAAATGTCTGAGAGTTACATGCATGGGACTATTTAATACTCGTCAAGGGTTAGACAGGTGGGCGGAATGAGAGGCTGCAAAGGGTGCAGCTCTCACCCAGACCATATAAAGTGCTGAGCTATATATAACCCCAATGCTTATTCTCTAGATCTATCTCCTGCAGACTGCAGACCCAGCAAGTATCACCTTCCGGGCTGAGTTCTCACAGCTGTAGTTTTCTTGACAAACCTTCTGACTTTCAAAACCAGAAGATGGCTTGGAAGTTAAGAATCATTGGCCTAACTCTACCATCACATCCTTAAGCACAGAAATCTTTAGGTACTGTGTATCCATTATATGCACTGGAGCCTCAACTCAACAACCCTAATTATTTACATCCCTTCTCTGTTTTATGTGTATCAATATGTGTCTTTTGAATGGTTGCAAAGATTTTAAATGTAACATCAATTATCCCTTCATCCTCTGCCTGCATATTGACCCCCGAGAGACATCTTTCCCCTTCGCTTATGAAGCTGTAGCACTTCACACGCTTGGAGGTACCCAAAATGAACAAATGGTACCCATGCTCTTTGGTGATGGGGTGACTGTCATCATGCAAGGAAAATGGTATGTTCCGGCCCATCCGCCCATGTCAAGAGATGCCTGGCCCTGAAGATGGACTTGTGTGGCCTTAGAGATGTCTTGGGCTGATGGCAGCCCAAATGTTAGTGGTGTGTGTGATGGTGGAAAGGGAAGGGTACTCACATCTGCAGCCTTTTTCTCTGCCACCTCCAACTTTTCCTGGGCATCTTTCAGGGACTCAGAATATTTGTCCAGTTCATCTTCAGTGCTCTTCAGCTTCTTTTGCAGAGACACCAGCTCATCCTCCAGCTGGTTGTGGCGTGGGGAAAGCAGGGAGGACGTGTGGGAGAAGGGGGTGCAGCAGGCAAGGTGATCGCGCACAGGAGAGGTGCAGGTGCAGAAGGACAGATGGACAGAGGAGGAGAGGAGGAAAGAGGGAGAGAAGGAGAACCGTTAGCATCCTCTCAGCACGGTACCTTGGTGGCCTTCTCATCCGCAGCCAGCAGGCTCTCTTCCGCTTTGTGCTGCTCTTCCAGAACCCGGTCCCTCTCATCCTCAGAGGCCCGCAGTTGCTTTTCCAACTGCAGAATGTCCTCCTCCAACTAGCCACGCATGTTAGAGGCAAAAGAGGAGGAGACAGACAACACACTCAGATGCATTTGTGTCCAGGGACATTGCCCTGCCTTCAGCCACCCTCTTGGATTCCTCCCACCCACCCTGGAATTAGCGGGCACAATATTTTTAAAAGTCTCCATCACATGGGCAGACAAGAACAGAAGCAGGAGAAAAGGCATTAACCAAGTGGCATGTGAGGCAGGATGCAACAGATCTGAGCCATGGACTCAGCTCCATCCACAGGCCAGTCCACACCCTGTGCTTAGATATAGGTATTGACTTAGAGGGTTTGGTTGTTCTTTTTATTTTTTAACCCCACTCTGGAGATCACTTTAAAAAAGGGGTGGGGGTGGGAGACAGTCCCTGATTTGAACTGGACCCCAATCCAGCTATACTTAATCACTAGTCAATCTTGCTGAAACCAACAAAACAAGTTATTTGTGAGCAACTATTTTCAGTGGGGCTTAGTCACGACAAGCTTGAGCTGGCCTGGGCTGATTGATGGAAAGGACCCTCATGCTCCCTTGGAAGCCAAGCAGAACGGGGAATGTTGGGGCTTCCTCCCACAGGGAGGCTGTGGGCTCAGTCCTCTAGGCATGCCTCCTTAGGATCAGGGCCCTTGACCCCAATGGGCAAGCCTCACCGCCTGGCCTTCTGCATCTTTTCTCAGAAATAAAATCCCACCCCCCATGGGATTTTGCTTCTGAGAAACGAGGCTTCTGGTCTTGCTGTAGGGATTCTGCTCCTCTCATTGCAGTGAAACTAGTTTGACGCTCAGAAAGCTGGCCGGCCGGCCTGTGTCTCCGTGTGTCAGAACGTCCCACCGGCACACCCTGCTTCTCCTCCTCCACGACCTGGGAGCCGCGGAGCGGGGCCTGCTACCGTCGAGCCACCGTCCAGAAACCTTCCCCTTCAGCCAACTGCTTTCCTCCGGAGGAGGTGCGGGCCCCTTCTCTCCCATGAGCCCAGCTTCTTCCAGGGGCAAAAAAGAAAGACACCCCCAACTTTAGGCAAATTTCCTCGACGGCCCACCGCGCGCCCTCTTTCTTACAAAGCACTCCAGAAACCCAACGCCGGGAAGGCAGCCCGTCGGTCTGGAACCTCCTGGAGATCCACGGACCTTACTCCCGAGGAAACACGTCGAGAATCGGGAGGGTCGTTTGCTGGCGCGCCCCCTCGCCTTCTCGGGGGGTGGCTCCCCATATTCCCCAGCCCCGCTCCAAACTCCCTCCACTCCCCTGCGGGGCCCCGACGGGGCGTCCGCCCACCTGCTTGCTCCTGTCCTCGGCCGCCTTCTTGTCGGCTTCGGCTTGCTCGGCCCGGTCCAAGGCGTTCTCCTTGTCCAGTTTGAGCATCTGCATCTTCTTCTTGATGGCATCCATGGCGGCGGCGGCGGTGGTCGGGGGTCAGCGGCAAGAAGAAGAAGAACGTCCCGGTTCGAAGGCGGCGGCGGCGGCGGCGGAGCTGTGCGTCTGGCTGCTGCTGCTGCGTCTGGAGCTGCCTTCCTGGAGGAGGCTGGGCTGCGCGGAGACGAAGGGCCGGGCTGAAGTGCGAGCGCCTCCCCAGTCGCGCCGGGCAGATAAGTACCGCCGTCCCCGGGGGCCGAGTGCATTCCTGGAGACATCCAATACTTTTTTGGGAAAGGGCTCGCGCCGCCCTTCCTCCGCCCGCCCGCCTCCCTCCCCAGCCCTCCTCCTTTCCTTCTCCGCATCTTTTTCTCTTCTCCCTGCCATTTGATCCCAGAGATGCCTATATAAGGGCAAAGAGGGACGGGGCGAGAAGGCAGGAGCCGCCGCTGCCGGGGAGCCTCCGTCCAACCTCGCGGCCCGACGGCGCTTCTGCTTCTTCCCCCAAGAGGCGGCCCAGGATGGCCCTCAGCAGCCTGGACGGCTTTCCCAGGAGGCGGGTGAAGACCATGGACGGCCGTTGGGCTCTGCCTGGCTCCTTGCTGCCTTCCACCTCCGCCGTCGGAAGCGGGAGATTCCTCCGGAGCGCAAGTGGCCAGCGCGCCCTGCGCCTTCCCGTCCTTTGGGGCATCTTGTGAGAAGAAGGTGATGGACCCGATGGACGCCCCCCTCCCAGGCTCTTTTTACCTTTCTACAGTCCAGGGGGAAGCGGGTTCAAAGGCAGACTCAAGCCATTAAGCTCTCCAACTTCCTTGGATTAATTGAATGCATTTCCTAGATGCTTTTCATTCAAATGAATCCCAAAGTGGTTTGCAAACAATAAAGAATATCGTAATACAGCATAGCAGAACCTCTCAAGTACAGCATAAACCATATAAAATAATTAACAAATCATCAGTGAAACAATTACAATCTCTTTATAGAATTCTTTACTGATAACCCTGAAGAACAGCAGCCACCGAAATCAAACCTTGAAGTTTGGCAAACTCAAATAGACTGATTGGTCCTGGAGTGGGGAGGGAGGCAAGCTGGGATTTTGCCTTCCCCACCCTTTTGTAATTGTTATGTACTGGAAATCAATAAAATTATACTTATAATAAAATTTTGAAAAACCAGTTAATAGTTATGGAACACTATTAACAAAGCAGCAATGAAAAACAAGCTAAGCATCACAATTACAACAAAAGTCATTATATATGACATTTATAACCTATAAAACATGAATCTTTGGGCCACTCCTCCCTCAGCCTGATCTACCTCATCTTGGGAGGGTGGCACTGAAGGAAAGAGAGCCGGGCTCTGTAGAGGAAGGGTAGGAAAGCTATTTCTTCTGTTGAGGGTCACACTCCCTTGGGCATAACCTTCCACAGGCTGCATGCCAATGGTGGGCGGAGCCAGAGACAAAAATGTTCTGGATTAGCTGATCTGGAATCAGGACAGCCTGGCTTTGATGTCCACCATAGCTACTACCTCCGGTTGGAATGCCTAGGCTTGACCCGGCTATAGAGCTGCTGCAGCTGGACACCTCTCTCTGCCCCTGGGTCAAGCCTCACCTGGGGATGGAGCTGCAGCTGGGCGGGCACATGCTGCAGCCCAGGCAAGTGGGCAGCAGTGTTGCTGCCTACTCTCCTCTGCACCCCCGGGTCAGGCTTGACCCAGGAATGGAGTTGCGGCTGGTGGCGTTTGGTGCAAGGAAGCTGCCCGTCTCTGCAGCTCCTTCACACGCCAGATCCAGGCTCTGATGAGGGAGCCTGTTGTGGTGGCCCCTGGACCAGGCACCCCCCAGCCCTCCCCCCACGCTACACCACTGGGCCAACCAGATGCCTGTGGCGGGAAACATGATGCAGGCAGAACCTGAGCACCAGAGGCCTCTCCCCTTCTGCAGTTCCCAGCAACTAGTGTGCAGAAGCACAGAAAGTGTGTGGGTGATGAGATGTACATAAAAAATCCAGGCAAAATGAGGAAGCAGAAAAAAGGAGCCCTGATGGAAGAGTGGGCAACTTCAGAAGGCATTTGAGGACCACATCAGGTGCGACCCTGGGTCTCAGGTTTCCCCTCTTGTGCTGTAAGAGAAATGCAAGATCTAATTGTACTAAAAGAAACACAATAAAATCAAGCAATAACATGTTTTAAAACTTAGATGGACAACCAGTATAAAACCCATCCATTGCTTGAATTGAAACAAATGTACCGTACACACAACTCAAATGCTACTTACAATTTTTTCAGACAATGCTATAGTGGAAAGGCCATGTTACAAATTTCTGTTTCCCCCTCCCCGCATTTCCTTGTTGCAATAACATGCCAGAGACAAAACAGTCAAAGAAAGAAAGAGACCAAGTGTGCTCTCTTAACTTGCTGCCTTGCTGATTAATCAACCCCAGAATTCATTGGTTAACCTCCAGAGTAAAGTTTATTGCCCTGTTTTAAGATATGGGAGAGGATTTGGATTAGTCAGTCTTCCTTTGCTGCAGGAAACTGAGGTCCCAACCCCACAATCTTTCTCTCTCCCACACCCCAGTGACAGTTCTCAGTCTTCGAACATAGAACTACATGACAGACCTTTCTGTAGAAGTAGAGCATTTGCTCTGCGTGCAGAAGGTTCAGTCCTGCCATCTCCATGTTGGCTCGTGAAAACCTCCTGTCTGAGCCAGTGCAGAATCTATACTAGGCCATATGGATTCATGGTCTAACTCTGTATAGAGGAGAATGTTTCTAAGCATGCACAGATGTTTCCCCATACATATTCAGATGGGGAAGGCTTCTGAGGCCTTTCTGCCGGCTTTGTTTATGAGTTATTTAAATGGTTTTATTGATATACTGTACACTGTTTTATGTGTTTTGCCTTTTACACCTTTAGCCTGTTTGAAGTAAGCAAATTAATGCTATTATTATTATGCCTGATCCGATTGCTTCTTATAAGTCCTGTGGGCAGGGCAGGGGCTATACTATGATCCATCACATTCTTTGTTCCAGATAAATACAAAAATGCTAGCAGTAAGATGAACTTCACATTAATCAAGAAGAGAATATCCCTGAGCATGCGTAAAAAAAATATTCCCCTTGCACTGCAGTAAGACAGGAGGAAGAGAGTTCAGAACAAAGGGGATGACTTCTGAGTCAAAGCAGCCTCATGCCAACAACTAAACACCCTGTGGGGATATTCTAACCTTCACTATCAACTGTCCATGCAAAACAAGCTGCTGATCACTATTCCAAATTAATAATGTTTGCAGAGTGTTGCCAGTGCCCTAAAGGCAGCTTTGCATGTCACACTGCCAAGTTTGCCCTTATCATAGAACTGTATCCAGTCCCAGGGTCCTCAGAGACTGTGCCTGGACTATGTAGTTCAAAGTTTGCAAACACTCTGCTGTGTTCACACCAGAGTTCACACGACCTTTTTAGGGGGAGCTGAAATCCTTGAGGACATTAAAAGTCCATTTGTTTATTTAAGTGTTTTTAGGTCTCTCAAGGTAAATACCCCACAAGGCAGCTGACAATTACTTAAAATACAAAACTACAAAAACAGATGCTTATAAAAACAAAACAATAAAACACCACAAATGAACAGAAGATAAACCTTTTCATAAAGTCTGGCTAAAAGATGAAAACTAGCTTCAAGGGTAGCATCACAACTGAGGGTCTGATTGGCTCATGAAACCCTTTTTCTGCTTTTCACTCACAGGCCAGGCAGGGGAAGAATATTTTCGTAACTGCAGTAGCCCTGGTAGATCAGATTTTGGCATGTCATTACATTTCTAATGGGAACAACACATGTGGGAACTGAATGAGGAATGACGTCGGCAGAGGTTAGGTTCGGCGAGGTATAAAAATATTTAGCTTTGAGCTACATAAGCCTGCACTTTCCCCTTTCCCACTGCCCCAATTGCTGACAATTCACTTAAAATGACATTAATATAAACCCACATTCATTTGTGTCGTCTGTGAGGCAGAGCACCCCACACATTGGAAGCCGAGAGAGTGCTCCATTTTTCAGAGTTAAAATGGGATCTTTTTGCAATCGTGCTCACCCCTGAAATGTTTATTCTAAGAGAAGTGTGATGCCTCTTGAAAGGAACTTGATGCCCTCTTATACTCCACAAGTCACTGACCTGATCCGAAGGACATGGGGCCCAGATCATTGACTCACACAGGGATACAATGGGCAAACTCTTCTGAGAACAGATAATCTGGCTGCATGTCTACACAATCCTGATGCAGCAGGAGAACTGGATGCAAGCACAGCCTGGCTGGAATAACAGAATCACAAAATCATAGAATTTTAGAGTTGGAAGGGAACCCAAGGATTGCCTAGTTCAACCCCCTGCAATGCAGGAATAATACTCTCAATGCATAAGAGTACCCAAATATTTCCCCAGTGCATGGCAACCTCTTCCACAAACACCTCAAATCCCTGCAGCAATAAATCTAGCATGTCAGGGTTATTGTCTAGCCCTTTTTTCATGGGTGTACTAGCTATCTAGATGCAGGGATTTAGTTGTTTTTGTATCAGTAGTGGAATGTATTAAGCAAGTAAATATATTAACCATTTTTGCACATGGAGAAACAATCCTGTCCCGTGAGCCCTCCCTTGCTACCTGAAGTGGAATAGCTCTGACACAAGATGAGAGAACTTGGTATGGAATACAGCTGGATCTCGCATTTCCCAAGGTGCAGCCCCCTGACCCACATGACTCTTGCTTGGGGAGATGGAGGTGCCCAGCAAGGAGGGGTCACCTGGCCTTGTTGTTCCTGTGCTGTGGTGGACCACAGGAAGCGTCTTGGTCCCAGGACTCTTCTCCTAGAACTTGGGCCTGGGAATCCCTGAGCGCCTCAGAGGAACGTGCCTTGCCCCGTGCCAGATTCTTTGTCCATCTAACTGGGTATTGCCTCCTTTGACTGGCAGTGGCTCTTCAGGGTGATCGTGGGCACAGATCCATCACTTCCATCACTCACTGCTACCAGATCTTTCCTTCTTTTTCAAACTGTAGGCACATCACACAGAGCTGCAGTGAGCAGCCTTCTCTGAGGGTGGGCAGCTTGGAGTCGCAAAATATTTCAGGCCTCCCAATTTTCAACCCAAGCAATGGAGCGTCTTGCTCAACTGCAGGCCTGAAGCATGTTAGGGGCCGCAGTTAGAGTGAC